TGATTCCCCCTGTAAAGGCCCGTGGTTATGCAGGGGGAATAAATGCAGAGGTATTATTATTTTTATTTTATTTTTTCATTTATACTATTTCCCCCTCACACACACTCTGCTGCCCATGTCCTCCTTACACACATTCTGTTGTCACGTGTCCCCCTGACACACCCTACTGCCCCATTGAAATAAAGACAATAAAAAATGTTTCAAATTGATCTAAAAAAAGAAATTTTTCACAGTGTTCCTTTAAGGATACCCAATTAGATAGCTCTCTACTAACCTGCTGAAAGATGAAAATTAAGAAAAGCCCTTTTAAGGGTTAAGGGTTCTTAACCCTTTGTTGTCCAATGTTGAATCATCCCTGGAGAGTTCCACCGTATGGCGAAAGCCCTTCGCCACTGGGTTTGCAAGGGACTACTTGCCAGTCTTTTACCCTGTGATTATGGCCTCTTTAATTTATTGTGGTTGAGAGACCCTATTTGTGGCTATTGGGACTTTAAACAATGGTTCTTCAAACTCCCAAACAGTCAAAGTGGTCGCCATTCGACATTCGAAACACGTGGTGGCGACCATCTTGTTCACATGGACCAAAACTGTGAATAGACTTCAGGGGGACTTAGCCGTGAATACCCTGTTCTATTTTTGGCATGAAAACCTTGCGGTTCCCGGTCGGTCCTCCAGTGGCACTTAGCCACGATTCTATGGAACTGTTTTGGGCATGAAGTCCTGCGTGCCCCTGGGCAGAACTATGACTTCCATAGAATTTCTGAACCCCTGATCTGATCTGGGTGACCAGATGTAGGTTTTGTGGGGATATGTTGTTTTTTGGGGTACTTATGGGACTTTATAAAATTGGATGTTTTTCTGTGCTTGGAGATAATTTGGTTAGATTAGTACAGTTCCTGATTCAACTATCTCCCACGCAGGAGGGATTCTATTGTTTATGTATGGGAGTGTCTCACTGTATAAAGCTGTTTTTATTACTTTGTTAACTTGTGTCCCTGTGCCCAATGTGGGTGTCACCCTTGTTGGGAAACTTGCAAATTAAGTCCAGGATGTCAGAGGTTGGTCCAGGGTGGGAGGAAGATGGCAAGATTCCAGTTAAGCTATGGTGGTTGTGGCGTCTGTGGTGCTTGTGGTGTCCGGTGCGGTGCTTATGGTCCTTGGCGCCAGCTAGGAAGCATCTGTTGGCAGTGGTGCCCAGTCGGGGTGCGAGGTGATCTGTCACACACTGATCCTCCATGCTTGGTGCCATGAATGTGCGCTACGTACACAAGCTGGGAGGTCCTGGCATAGGGAGCCATCGCGCACCTAAGCAGCACCCGGAATGGAGGATCGGCGGTACTCTCAAGGGAAAATCAGTGGACCACAAGAGGTAAAATATTTAGACTATGGCCCCATGTTAAAAGACATCTTTTTTACCTGCAGAAAAGATTTATTCGTTCTTTTCTGCCTGGTGTTCGGTAGATTCAATCTACCGAACAACCGCACGAATGACTGGACCACCTGGGAGCTGGAGTGTGTCGGCAATTAGCCTCCCTGAAGCTGTGGTTAACCGCAGCTTAATTGACAAATGCTGGGTGGCCGCCATTCATATCACGAACACGAGGTCGCGGCCATTTTAAACATGCGAACGCACAGCGGTGTTCGACGCTTAATTCATGGAACTGAAATTGGACACAGTTTTGCGCGAACACCGCTGAAGCCACCGACCTCCCTTCTTGGTTGGTGAAAGTGCACGAATGGCCCGGCGTTCGGTAGTTTTGCTTGAATGTGTTATACCTCAGATAGGAATCCCATGGAGCCCATTCGCATGAGAAATTGACTGTGTAGCGACTTTGGCTCCATGACGATTACACTGTTTTCGTGTGGTCTGAGCGCCATTCGCTTAATAATGCGTGCTCAGACCTGAGCTATCTGGGGATATGTTAAATGTATAGTTTTATTGTAATGTGTCTCACATAGTGTATTTTAATAGTAATTTGTGTTGTAGTATCCCCACGTGCATAATGGCGATTTGCCTTTGTCTTGGGAGATAATTGAATTACTTCTCAATTATCTCCAAGGCAGAGGGGAGGAAGCCAGGATGCATTGTGGGAATATAATGTGACTGTGTGTCCTATTTGTCTACTTGTCTGTCTTTTGTCACAGTCTCCCATTTGGTCCTCTAGGGGAGTGTCCACCAGGTGGGAGACCTGCATAAATACTGGGCAGGTAGCCCTCATTAAACAGACCACTGCTTGACCCTCAACACGGAGCCTTGTCTCGTCTTTGGGGGGATTTACTGAATGCTGATAGAGACTGATTGCTAGATGTGTTAGCCGCTTGGATGCTTTTCCTTTTCGTCTGCTAGCAGCGATTCGTATGGTTCCAGTTCGTGTGTTTGGAGTGCTATATTGGATGCCGTTTGGGAGTTTGGAGCATTCCCTTATTGGCGGTTCGTGAGTTTGGTGTTCTACAATAGCTGTGCCTGCATCTCTGAGAAGGGGACGATCGCCTAAACGGTTTTTACCCCTTGTGTGCAAAACGGTCCGTTACACTCATCCCTCCAACATATATTATAAATAGCAGCTCCCAACTACATATATTTATATTCAGAACTGCTCCCACCAACATATTTAATCTATATAGTCCCTCTCTGCCCCCCACAATATTTATATCCAGATATATTACACTATGCAATAAATGTTTCCACAGCCAAGCAGTTGGTTTCTTATTACTGGAGCTGAAAATGGAAGAAAATGTTAATTGCTTGGAAACGATGAGTCCTGATTTGCTTTGATTTAGAGACAGTTATTGGATCAATACAGTTATTGTGATTGAAAGAAAAAAATTGGTTCTTTATCAAAAATACAAAAGAGAATAAACAATGTCACAGAATTCCCATCATCCAACACCTGGGACATTTAGTTCTGGATGCTAGGCAAGCAGGTTTTTTCTTTCTTTAGCACTGCCGCAGGAAGACCTCTTCACAAAACTACAAGAGGGAGCATGTGGTCTGCACCTCCAGGGGCTGCGGACTGCTGTAAGATCTCCAACATGATCTCAGTGCTCAGTAATGACTCATTACTGAGCAGTGGGAATGGAAGGAGTGATTACTGTGGTCTGCACCTGCCATAAGTGCAGACTACACACTCACCCATTGGACCAACAGGTCTGGACTACCATGGACTACCCTCCCTGCAAAAAGGTAAGTACGGTCAGCATATACTTTTTGGTTTGGACTAACCCAGTTTCATCAGTGTTAAGTTTCAGTCATGTTGAATTTCTTTGATCATTTTAGGAAAAACAATTTGGATGCTCCAAAATGCAAAACTACTAAAATGGCTAATCAACATCAGGCATTTTTGTAATGCCAATTGTGAGTTGTCATTAGTATTAAAAAAAATATCAAAGAATTATTAAGACATCCAGACCACTTGATCTCAATGATATGGTCCATGTGCGGTGGCCCTTCCAATGCCTCCATATGAAAAGTATTTAAGTATTTAATTATGTACACAGTACTGGAGACCGTATCTTCAGAAGGATATTGATACCATAGAGAGAGTTCAGAGAAGGGCTACTAAACTGGTTCATGGATTGCGGGATAAAACTTACCAGGAAAGGTTAAAGGATCTTAACATGTATAGATTGGAGGAAAGACGAGACAGGGGGGATATGATAGAAACATTTAAATATGTAAAGGGAATCAACACAGTAAAGGAGGAGACTATATTTAAAAGAAGAAAAACTACCACAACAAGAGGACATAGTCTTAAATTAGAGGGACAAAGGTTTAAAAATAATATCAGGAAGTATTACTTTACTGAGAGGGTAGTGGATGCATGGAATAGCCTTCCAGCTGAAGTGGTAGAGGTTAACACAGTAAAGGAGTTTAAGCATGCGTGGGATAGGCATAAGGCTATCCTAACTATAAGATAAGACTAGGGAGTAATGAAAGTATTTAGAAAATTGGGCAGACTAGATGGGCCGAATGGTTCTTATCTGCCGTCACATTCTATGTTTCTGTGCTCCTTCTTGTAATGCCACAAGCCCACAAGTGAGACCTAAGCATAGGCTAACCAAACAATTCTGTTCATCCTCTCCATCCTTCATTCATGACTGCTGTAAATTGATAGTTGACGGAGGTTGATAGTTTCTGTTATTTCATTGTCATTATAGAATCATTGGAATCCCCCCTTCTTTACTTACATTTTAACCCATGAATTAAAATCTCTGAAACTCTTCAAATATTCAGATTCAGGTAAAATTCTGATGCAGTCTGATTTATGATAATCTCCACATCGTATAGTTTATATAACATTTGAAAATGTTGTGCTGATGTCTGCTGACAATGACTTGCTCTGAATTAATTTGCACATTCAGGCACATACATAAATTGCTTCTAACAATTTGAATTCAAAGTTGGATATTTAATTTTACACTGCAGAGACACCTTTGGGGCCGGTAAACATTCCTCGGTGTATATTAGCTTTTTCAAATGCATCTCTGAACAGGCAGAAAATCACAGTTGATTCTGTGCTTTCGATGTTGATACAATATTACACCTGTAGAGGGCACCAAATCCTTTATCATTGCCCTGTGAATTGATGCTCTTGCACCTGCAATCAGTGATAAAGCGTACATGCCACTCATAAACATATCTGTTCTGTAAGTGGCTGTGGTATGGAAGCCTTAGGAGGAGTTCCAGTCTATCAATGAATATGAAAATTCATGTTTTTATCCCACTTGCATCTAAACCTCCTCACACTCCTCACTGAATGCTGCAGCATGACAGAGGAGAGAAACTAATCGAAACCTGAAGCTGAGATGAGAATGGGGAGAATTATAAAGGACTTCTTGGCAGAAGTGCTGGATATTATGTCTTTAAGGGACACCCCTATTCTTGTCAAGAAAAATGTCTCTACCAATGAAGTTTACGGATCAACCTAAACTTCCAACAAAAGCAGATTCCTTTGTATTGTTTTGTTTTTAAACAGTTTGAATTTCTTTTATTGAAATGGCAGATTTTTAAGACAACACTGTAGACGTGTCTTATTTAAGTGCAACAGTCCTGATCCTTTGCTGTCTCTGATTCGGGGCTACAGAAACCTGTTTCTGCAATGAATACATCAAGTTACATCTTCTCTGTACAGTCTGTCTTGCCCAATGGGACCTTGGACATCAATGAGAACCGTTCTCTGGTCAACCTCAGCTCGATTGGGTTCTGCGAACAGATCTTCATAAAGTCTGAGGTTTTTCTCACCCTGGGGATTATCAGTTTGTTGGAAAATATCCTTGTTATCCTTGCCATACTTAAGAACAAGAATCTCCATTCCCCCATGTACTTTTTCCTTTGCAGCCTCGCCGTGGCTGATATGCTGGTCAGTGTCTCCAATGCGTTGGAAACCATTGTAATAACATTTCAAAGTAAATATGTGTTCATCGGAGAGCAACTTCTACGTCAGTTGGACAATATCTTTGACTCTCTGATCTGTATTTCATTGGTAGCGTCTATATGCAACCTCTTGGTTATTGCCATAGACAGGTATATAACGATCTTCTATGCTCTCCGGTACCATAGCATCATGACGGTGAAGAAAGCCATAACCTTGATTGTAGTGATTTGGATATCTTGTATCATTTGTGGCATTGTTTTCATTGTCTACTCTGAGAGCACGACTGTCATTGTGTGTCTCATTACCATGTTTTTTACCATGCTCGTACTCATGGCTACCATGTATGTGCACATGTTCCTGTTTGCTCGTCTGCACGTGAAACGGATTGCCGCTCTTCCGGTGGATGGCGTGGTCCAGCACAGGACGTGTATGAAAGGCGCCATCACCATCACAATTTTACTTGGAGTGTTTGTTGTGTGTTGGGCACCTTTTTTTCTGCACCTCATTCTCATCATATCTTGCCCATCTAATTCCTTCTGTGTTTGCTACACTGCTTATTTCAACACTTATTTAATCCTCATTATGTGTAATTCAGTCATAGACCCTCTGATTTATGCTTTTCGCAGCTTGGAAATGCGCAAAACCTTCAAAGAAATCATATGTTGCTATGGTATGAATTTTGCCAAGTGTGGCTAATTGCTGCCATGGTTTGGCAAATGATGACCAAAGTTCATACCCATCAAAATGTTGATTTGCATTTTCACTGTTTTGAGGAGGGGATTAAAATTTATTCACTAAATACCTACTTGAGATTTGAGACCCGATGTGCGCACTGTTGGCTACGATAGCAGGGTCATGATGTTTCCTTTATTTTTTATAGCTATTCACTCATTATTAACTAATAAACCCAGAATTAATATACGTAGGGTAGCTATGTACTAGCTAAAGGTTTCTGATGCCAAATAAACCGAGCGTTAGTTATTAAAAAAATATGTATTTTTCAAGAAAGCAGATTCCCTATGATACTAGTTATTTTTTTATATTTTTTTTATAAAAGTTAAATAAAATCACAGTAAAAAACATTAATCACAGCTTTTGGCTCTGGTTTGCACTCATTCCTTCATCCAGATATATCAAAATGTAGACCCATAGTGGATGATTTGCCAGAATCAGGGCTGGTCAGATGTCCTGGGAGTTGTAGTTCTGTAGTTCTACATTTTGAATTCCTCTTTCTTTGCCAATACCTTTACAGAGCAGTAACAATACAGAATATATTTTCAAGGTTATATTATTATTATTATTATTATTATTATTATTATTATTAAGAATTTTGTGTATATATTTGCAAAAACACATGCAGGGTTAATTATTGCCATGTGGGTATTTTTGTGTACTGATAATTACATTCTTAGATCAGTGATCTGCTCTGGTAGGTTTAAATATTCTTATCACTGCATGTAGTTAAGATGAATTCAAGTGTTAAAATGTCCATCGCCCATCATGCTTTAGAGAGGGTTCCAGACACTGTACAATAAGGCAATGTAGTGTCTATTTACTAAACGGTGAGTTTAAGACTGAATTGCAAAATTGAGACAAAAATAACCAATTTAGACAAAAACCCTTAACTCCTACGAGTCAGAGTTTTTATTTTCATTCAGATATTTTGCATTCTGAATTTTTGATAGTCATTCACCAGACATCACTGTTCATTCAGTGAATACGCATCAGCAAATATATGTTATTGTGGTTTCTTATTCAGGGAGTGATTATTCTTATTTTTGTAAATAATATCCAAATATTTTTATTTGCAAGATGATATATTGTGATAAATGCATATACACACATCACACTGAGATTTAAAGGGTTAAACTTGAAATATAGCTGCAAGTGGGTTAAACCAGTATATTCACAGCCACACCAATACTTAAATGTATTAAAATTTATTGTAAAGTATTAAAATGAAATGGAAAAAACTAAATTGCAGCATCAACCATAGAGACTTCTCTGCACACCAGACAGCAAATGCACTGCTGTACGGATTTTAATATACTGTCTGCAGCATGTGGCTAGTAAATCCATATGTGAAGAATGCTGCATCAATTAAAAATTCATAAGGAAGCTGAAAAAATGATATTTACTATGTTCGACTACTAAAAGATAATCACCAATGCAAAGTGCCTATTTTATCTGGAGGGACTGATCTTTTGAAAATGAATGTAAGATCTTACATCAAGAGAGAGGAATTCTTACTGACGTATTTAGAGAGAGACATACAGTAGATTTATCGATGTATGGTTTGGAATGGCACGAAGATAAAGAGAGAACTTCTCGAGACATTTTTGCAGAGACAAGCTAACAAAAATGCCTGGCAATTTCCAGTGAATGTGATGATAGCAAATCTTGCCTTTTGTGCAATAATCTCTGACACCTTACAGTGCACAGCATTGTTTGGGAGACAGAAATCTGTAGAGGTGATATGTTTTTACTCTCGAAACACTGAGCAGAGCTGATACCAATTCATACTGTGAGCAAGGTGTCAATCTAATATTCTGGACTTGACTGTGAAATATCAAATCACAAAAATGTGTAACAGGATTCTCCAGAACAAAACCCAAAAATATTTCAAATATCTTGTATTTAAAGATAACGCTGTTTCTGGAAAACATGTTTCTTATTAACATCTACTATCGCTAATTGATAAAATATTAATGAAACTTATGACATTGATCTCTATGAACAGCAACTATGATTACGTCAGACTCCAATAAGGAAATAGCAACATCACAGAGTGCTGTCACAGCTAAACTATTCTGTATCCCTACTACTGAAAGTATTTCTTACTCTCTAAGTATGATTACTAGGATTCAAGGATTTTGACAAAATGGCGGCCATTTTAAACGTCTAGAAGTATTGCCGACTTTTCTTATTTCGAAATGAAACCATATACACATGAAACATTTAGTAAAAAGTAACTTTTTTTAAATGGACATGCCTCTACTTCAGAGAGTGTTATAATAGTCAGTGTTCGTTTAAAGAAAAAGAGATCATTAAGATGTATGTCGCAGTTACAGTGAATTTGCTGGAGATATAAGGCAACAACAATTTTGTTTATTCCGTCGATTAGGTAAAGCCGAGCAAATCTTCAGTAGACTTTTCATAAAATTTCGTTAAAATTGTCCAAAATTGTATTTATTTTTTTGACCTCCAAAAGGTTGTCCCAGCATTACTTTCCTTGTGGATTCCATGACTTCTCTCCGATACCACCTGTTTTCTCCAAAGTGTTAAAAAAAATTCTCAATATGATTCAATCAGATTTGTAACAGATTGGGAGGATGTGCGAAAGGGCCTAACCAGCGTTAGTTGTGAAACAATGAACAGAGTCGTTTACCTTTATTTTTGGAATGTACAAAAGGAAGTGATGTCAACTGTGCTAAAATATGCTTTACGTTTGTGCGTTAGACAATTAGTTTTCATATCCCTGTAAATTCTGACCTGTCAGCTCTATGTTTTTCTATGTTGTATTTTACTAGAGTCTTCATATCTTTATTTATTTAGAGTTAATTTCACATAGTAGTATAAGCCATCATGTCTCAGTAAGGATGTTCTTCTACTTGTGCCAAAAGCAGTGTTTAGACCCAGAGTTGGCCTTTGGCAATGGTTTGGTACAAACAATACATTTATATAATGCATAGTGTATATGTGACAGAATCAGTGAGTCAGTTGCAGTAGCAATCTGTCCTAAAATATTCATATAGCATTGTGATATATTTATTTATTTATAAAATATTTTACCAGGATGGATACATTGACATTTCTCTTGTTTTCAAGTATGTCCTGTGTCCACAAACATTGCATTGCTACAATAGGATACAATATTACAAAAATACAATATACAAACTGTATATAGAGTCAGAGATTATTGTATATACACACATATAAATTTAATACATAACAGGTACTAAATATATTTAATGATGACGGGTGCATTCTGTGCTGAGGTATATTGCCATACGATTTTAAATTGAATGAAGATTTGACTGTGTCCCTGAGGTTATTCCATAATTGCGGTGCTCTGTAGGAAAAGGAGGATCGAGACACTTTATTTTTGTATTGCGGTATGATAAATATCGTGCTAGTACTGGATAGGAGGTTATAGGAGGTGGGAACAGCCGGGGAGAGCATTCTGCTCAGGTAAGGTGGGAGCTTCCCAGAAAAGCTCTTAAACACAAGGCTGGAAAGATAAAGAGTGCGTCGGGATTCCAGCGACAGACAGTTTAGCTCTTTTAACATGTCAAAGTGGTGGGTAAAGTAATTACATTCTAGTACAAAGCAGTAGAACGAATTATATAGCGTATTAAGTTTATTAAGGTGGGTTTATATATGAGTACAGCAGCTATAAATTAACTAAACTGCAACAGTCAGCATCGATCGTGTATAAAAAGAATGATAAAGTATGGAAACCACAGTGATCATGTAACAATATGAGTAAATAATTGAAATGGCATCACAGTTCTACAACGATATCCGAATAATATAGTGAGTAATTTGTTTCATATTATAAATGTTGTTAAATATCTTAAGGATAAACTGTACTGTCATTCAATGACTGTAATACGGCGGTAGCTCTGCCCTCTGTCAAGCAGTGTCAGGCATAGGAAAATTACTGAGACAAAGTATTCCTTTCTTTGTCTCTGTATATCTCTTGACTGTGTTGGTGTGACGTTCAGTGACGTTCCAACACAGTTAATATGAGTATCTCATAAATATTCTATCTGTAATAAACATTATATGAATATTCTATCTATAATTTGCAAAGACCTCCGACAGTGACATTACTGCTGGGGCTCGGGTGGTCGGGGGGCAGGGAAAGGTGAGTTCTAGTTACCTGAGCCTGACCCTTGCAGGTGCGGCCATCCTCCTCTGGTGGGACCTTTTCAGCTCCTGGCAATTTAACAGCCAGGAGCCAAAGCATGTGCAAGAGTACAGCAGAGACGTCTATGGAGTATTCTGCAACATATATCTTTTGATGGGTTCTCAGAATATCTTTAACTGGGTTGGCAATTCAAACACAGCCAATATGAGTATTTGACAAGGATTCTATATTCATGAAATACCCATTTTGCATGGGGAAGGTAAGGGGAGGGGGGGCTAACAATATCACTTTAAAACCTAGACATTATACAGGGAGTTTTTATTATTAAAATGATGTTTATTTTCTATAAACTATCACTACATTATGTAAAAATTGTTGAAGAATGGCTGAAGTTTAAAAGTGATTTTATTCTGTAGATATTGCTAGTTGATCACTGTGCATTGATTTCCTTAGAAAGTGATTGTTTATCAATTCTATAACTGTAAATAGAAACCTGTTTTGTCACACTATACATTTACCATGGCTAACTTGATAACTCAGATGTTTCTGTATGACATTTCCCAAAATGCTCCACCTCTCTTAAAACTGGATGAGTGGGATGAAAAATAGAGCTTACCAATATTTAGAATAGCTTCTCTGTCATGGTGTTTTATTGTGTAATGCTTTTATATTCAAGTTTATTTCTTTGTTTCATTGCCATGGTAACTTCATTTCCGATTCACAATGTATCAGTCATTACCACTATCTGCAATGCTGAACAGACTGGTCCAAAACTTCCCCTGTATCGAAAAGTTGATCATCTTCTGTTTCTTTTGCAATTAAAGGAACGTATTTTTCATAACCGTGAGACAGCTTTACAGCTTATGCATTTTTGATGCTCAATGTATTCTTGTGAGATATGTAGCTACAAGTTCAGCACTTATTGCTTGTTTCTCGTTAGTTCCTTATGTTACCTCTATTGGTGTCAATGTTCAGAAGAAACTGATTTTAAATAGAATGGTTTATGGATATTGAACTATTCTGGAGAAGAGTTTTAAAAGGGGAGCAATCAGCAGGAACATTCTATGGGTTTCCAAGACAATTGTCCTACTTTTAGAACTTGGCTGTGGAATTGGTCTTTATGTATAAATCACTTAAGTCCTCATAAAATTACATTTTGGGTTTTTTGTTTTCATATCACTAAAAATGTCAAGCTGTTATGTCTTTTTAAAATGCAGGCAATTCGGAGTGGCCTTTACTTCCATTTGGAAAAAAACAAAAAAATATGTATAACAATTTATGTAACTTTTGGTTTTACCTGCCTTTAAATATACCTGTGTATACATGATTTTAAGAAGCTGTACTTTTGTCAACTTATTTTCTATTTATTTTATTAAACTGAGTAAAAATTGTCTTGTTCCATGACTCTAGAAATAGAATGTTCTCATACACTTATACACTCTCACTGACATTCACATAATGTCACTTACACACTCTCACTGACATACACATTGTGGCATTTACACACTCTCACTGACATACACATTGTGACACTTACACACTCTCACTGACATACACATTGTGGCACTTACACACTCTCACTGACATACACATTATGTCAATTACACATTCTCACTGGCACACACATAATGTCACTTACACACTCTCACTGACATACACATAATGTCACTTACACACTCTCACTGACATACACATAATGTCACTTACACACTCTCACTGACATACACATGATGTCACTTACACACTCTCACTGGCACACACATAATGTCACTTACACACTCTCACTGACATACACATGATGTCACTTACACACTCTAACTGGCATACACATAATGTCACTTACACACTTTCACTGACACATATACACATAATGTCACTTACACATTTTCACTGACACACACACAATGTCACTTACACACTCTCACTGACACACACATAATGTCACTTACACACTCTCACTGACATACACATGATGTCACTTACACACTCTCACTGGCACACACATAATGTCACTTACACACTCTCACTGACTCACATTCACATAATGCCACTTACACACTCTCACTGACATACACATTGTGGCACTTACACACTCTCACTGACATTCACATAATGTCACTTACACACTCTCACTGACATACACATTGTGACACTTACACACTCTCACTGACATACACATTGTGGCACTTACACACTCTCACTGACATACACATTATGTCAATTACACATTCTCACTGGCACACACATAATGTCACTTACACACTCTCACTGACATACACATAATGTCACTTACACACTCTCACTGACATACACATGATGTCACGTACACACTCTCACTGGCATACACATGATGTCACTTACACACTCTAACTGGCATACACATAATGTAATTTACACACTTTCACTGACACATATACACATAATGTCACTTACACATTTTCACTGACATACACATGATGTCACGTACACACTCTCACTGGCACACACATAATGTCACTTACACACTCTCACTGACATACACATGATGTCACTTACACACTCTCACTGGCACACACATAATGTCACTTACACACTCTCACTGACTCACATTCACATAATGTCACTTACACACTCTTACTGACAAACACACAATGGCACTTACACACTCTCACTGACTCACATTCACATAATGTCACTTACACACTCTTACTGACATACACACAGTGGCACTTACACACTCTCACTGACTCACATACACATAATGGCACTTACACACTCTCACTGACTCACATACACATAATGGCACTTACACACTCTCACTGACATACATACACACAGTCTTACTGAAATATACATATTTATATGAGTTTACATAGTTACAGTTTGTTTAAAAATACACACACACCACTGTGCAGACATATAGAAAATAACCAGTCCCCCTTAGCCTCCATGTGGCCCTATCTGAGTGCTGTTACAAGAGGAGATGAGGACCAGCCTTGTTTCTTCACAGGAGTCTTTGTGTTTGAGTGATAATTGAATTCATTTTTTTTTTTTACATGCAAATAATACAGGAACCCCACAAAAAATGTTTCCTCGAATAGCTCTGATCTGAGCACCCAACATATCCAAAAAGCGCTCAGATCGGTTTGTTAGAATGAAATCACCATTCGAGTAAACTTTTGTCTAACCAGCCACGACTTTGTAACCGCGGCTGGTTCCCTTATTTACCACTATAATGTCTTAAAGCATAGAACTTAGTAGGGCTAACCATACAGATATCTTAGCCATAATTTTATATAGTTAGTAAGAGATCCTCTATTTAACATATATAAATAATTGAGAATACAATATAAAATAAGGATTGTCTTGGAAGCAATAAAGTTTTGTCTTTTAGATATTTATTATATAAAAATATAAGTATAGACATATAAAATCCATTATAGCAGAGTTTATAAGATTAAATTAAATGCTTGCAAATATCATTAATAGGTTAACATACCCTTCTGAACATGTCATCATGTCAGCCTCTCTGTCATTTTAAGATGGAGCAGCGTCTGTCTCCAAGTCTCTCCTCTGTGTCTTAACATTTAAAAGGCATAGGGAGTGTGTGTAGGAGCAATTAGAGGAGGAGTTAAAGGGAGTAGGTATAGGAGCAATTAGAGGAGGAGTTATAGGGAGTGGGTATAGGAGCAGTTGGTGGAGGAGTTATAGAGAGGGGTGTAAGAGCAGTCAGAGGAGGAGTTTTAGTGAGTTGGTATAGGAGCAGTTAGAGGAGGAGTTATAGGGAGGGGGTGTAAGAGCAGTCAGAGGAGGAGTTTTAATGAGTTGGTATAGGAGCAGTTGGTGGAGGAGTTATAGGGAGTGGGTATAGGAGCAGTTAGAGGAGGAGTTTTAGTGAGTGGGTATAGGAGCAGTTGGTGGAGTTACAGAGAGTGGGTGTAAGAGCAGTTAGAGGAGGATTTATAGGAAGTGGGCATAGGTGCAGTTGGTGGAGGAGTTATAGGGAGTGGGTATAGGAGCAGTTAGAGGAGGAGTTTTAGTGAGTGGGTATAGGAGCAGTTGGTGGAGGAGTTATAGGGAGTGGGTATAGGAGCAGTTAGAGGAGGAGTTATAGGGAGTAGGTATAGGAGCAGTTGGTGGAGGAGTTATAGAGAGTGGGTGTGAGAGCAGTCAGAGTAGGAGTTTTAGTGAGTGGGTATAGGAGCAGTTGGTGGAGGAGTTATAGAGAGGGGGTGTAAGAGCAGTCAGAGGAGGAGTTTTAGTGAGTTGGTATAGGAGCAGTTGGTGGAGGAGTTATAGGGAGTGGGTATAGTAGAAGTTAGAGGAGGAGCTATAGAGAGTGGGTATAGGAGCAGTTGGTAGAGGAGTTATAGGGAGTGGGTATAGTAGAAGTTAGAGGAGGAGCTATAAAGAGTGGGTATAGGAGCAGTTGGTGGAGGAGTTATAGAAAGTGGGTATAGGAGCAGTTAGAGGAGGAGTTATACTGAGTGGGTATAGGAGCAGTTAGAGGAGGAGTTATAGGGAGTGGGTATAGGAGCAGTTTGTAACGGATCACCTGGCACCCCGACTGGGTACCTCCATTGAAGGATGCTCCTAGCGCTTCCTGAGGACTCCAAGCACTGCAGCAGACACCACAACCACCGAACCGTAGAAGCATTTGAATGCTCTCAAGCATATGAATGATGTAAGCAGCTGAACAGGAAAAGCATACAATCAGCTTACACTCCTGGCAATCAGCATACAATCCAATTCCACCAATAACGAGACGACACTTCGTTTTGAGGTCAAGCAGAACTGACTGTACTGGCACATACAGCCTCTTTTATTCACAATCCACAAACATAGTACTGCGCACAGGGTTTTGAAATACAACCAATCAATCCGTACAATACACTCAGACATTCCCACACAAAATCCTCCCCTCTGCCTGTGATATGATTACTGAACACAATGGTTAATCTAATTATCACAGGCAGAGAAATACAGTATCATAAAACATATCACAGGGATCCCAAAACATGCAATAACCCAATAAAGTATATCCTCGGAACCGGGGGATCTGGGTGAACCACATATCCAAAATTTACCCAGATCCGTTCAGTAGTTTGGAAGATGCAGTTTAATGCAGATTCCGCAGAACATATACAGGCTATATGAAAAATAATTACTGCATCATGTGTCCCCTGTTGTATAGTTTAAAACTACTGAACAATGTCTTCGTGCACCAAATACTGACGAGATGGCACCGTGTAGAAAAGTCCAAACAGTTTCTGTGAGTTAAAATGGCCGCCATCCATTGTTCTCACCATGTGCTTCATCCATTGTTCTCACCATGTGCCTTTGATACATGAAATGGTGGCCACCCAGCAGGGACGGACTGACAGTGGCCTGGGCCCCCGGGCAAAATTAGCACCTGGGCCCCCAGCAGACCGATATATATGCTGGTATAGGTGTACCGTATATGTGATTGTATATACATGTAAAGTGAATGCATGTTTCTGTGTGTATATTTACTGTGAGCGCTAGTGTAAGAGAATATATGTATGTCTTTGTGTGTAGTGTCAGGATATGTGGATTATTAGTATATTTGAATACATGTTTTTGGTTTTGTGAATAGGTTAGTATTTTTTTGTGTGTGTTTGTGTAGCATGGCAGTATGTATAAGGGGGTATTTATGAAACCAAGTGTTAAATGTTACGAGCCACCTTAAAGGGACTCTCCAATGCCAGGAAACCAATCCGTTTTCCTGGCACTGCAGGTCCCCTCTCCCTCCCACCTTCCCTCCCCGGTTGCTGAAGGGGTGAAAACCCCTTCAGTGACTTACCAGAGGCAGCGACATATCCCACGTCGCTGCTTCTTCCTCCGCTCATGCTCCTCCCCTTCATCACGTCAGCCGTCGGGGGAGACCTAATACGCATGCGCGGCAATGCCGCGCAGGCGCATTAGACCTCTGCATAGGAAAGCATTGAAAATGCTTTTCACTGCTTTCCTATGGGAATTTTAGCGACGCTGGAGGTCCTCACACAGCGTGAGGACGTCCAGCGACACTATAGCACAGAAAACCTGTGCTATAGACCAGGAAGTGCCCTCTAGTAGACAGCCACTAGAGGAGGAGTTAACCCTGCAAGGTAATTATTGCAGTTTATAAAAACTGCAATAACTACACTTGCAGGGTTAAGGGTAGTGGGAGTTGGCACCCAGACCACTCCAATGGGCAGAAGTGGTCTGGGTGCCTGGAGTGTCCCTTTAAAGGAACACTATAGTGTCAGGAATACAAATGTGTATTCCCTCCTTAAAAATGCAATTTACACACCTGTTTCCCAGCACCGACCAAACTCCTTGGCAGAGTTCATCA